GCCGCTGCCGGCCGCGGTAGCAACGGGCACGAACGGCCGCTGGTTTGTTGGGGGCTTTTTTCTTTTATTCCCCCAAATAGCTCCGACTTCTTGATTCTTTCAGTAGAAATCTTCAAAAGGTTAAGGACTAGATTAGAACATCTGTAAAGTCGGGTAAGTTTGATTTCGAGCAAATTAAAGCAAAAACGATAAAACGAACCAGTAACTGACTATACTTTTTCCGAGATATTGACGTTTGCTAACAGCAAAGAGGAGAAGGTGAATGGTTTTAGGAAGTCTCACCTCTGAGAACTACATGCCTGCAGCTTCCTGGGCATAAGTGCTGCAAACCCATGCCTGGCAAGGCCTGCAGAAAGGCTGCTGCATATAGAGTATGCTCACTGCACATAAGAACAATTTATGAACCCTAACTCGCACTGCCCTTGTTTAACACCACTTGCACCGTGAAGCATCACCAGCACATACAGCCTCCAGCTCCTGAAGATGCCGAAGGCTAACTGAATGGGGGCAGCTGACAGCAGAGGGTGGTTCCTCATACCCTAAAAAGCAATCTGTATATGCTGGGCTTGGAGGCTTCAGTTTTATTTTTACACTGAGTTTAGTACGACTAACAGCAGATTTGTTTGCACAATCAGGACAGTGGAGAAAGGGAGGGACAGGCCTTAATCATAAAAAAAACAGCTCTGACAAACAGACTGGTATCAAGGATTGTTTACATTAAGCATAAGAAAATATATTTTCTATAGCAATATGGAAATTTCTACCAACTAAGGGGTAAACTTTAGTTTGCAAATTATTTAAACTTTTTCATTTATTTGGCTTCCATTTCTTTGTACAACCAATTTTACGGCCTGCCAGAAACAGGAATGTAGTAATTTTTCTCTATATACCTGCCACAATTTTAAAGGACACCACAGATTTCAATCCTTAAAAATAATGAAAACATAATGGAGTTAAAAGTAGCTTCAAATGCTATACCTACTTTTTAAATCAAAGTCATGGTTTAATAAAAACATTTATCTTTAGAGTTCTTTCACAAAAAAGCATTTAAAAGGTGTTCATTTTAAAATGTGTCTAATTTAAAAATGTTTTATATATGTAGCTTTCTATCTCTTGTGCTTTACTGAGAGTCCCACAAATCAAACAGTTAATTGATTCTCTTACTGATTATCTGAAGAAAAATATGAAAATCATAATACACAATGTGCTGTTTAATGCACAAAATGAACTAGAAAATGTTACCTGACTAATCTCCCTCAGTGATTATGATTTTAAGTGCTATTTACAAGAACTTTGGACCAATGTGGAATTTTAAGGCCTTCGTTCTCCAAATATACAACTTTTATATTAGAAGAAATAAACACTACAAGAAATCCTGCTGACAGTGAAGAGTTTCCCTTGTGGCTTCAAATCATGCCATTTTAGAACACATAACATCCAGGGAAGTCTAGTTTTTTGTACAGGGAATTAAGGTAATTTGGATGACTTACACGTATAAAATAAGTCATATTCATGTGTCTTGATGACTGGGCCCTTCCTGGGCTATGCACCTTTAACTCATTTTGAACTGATTTGTTCACCTCTGGGTATTCAATTCAGTATTAATCCTGTGTGTGAAAATTCATGGAATATCATATTCCTTGCTGTAAGTAAAAGACAAGACAGTAAGATTTAAGGGAAAGAAGCAAGCTGAAATTCAAAAAAGTTTTCACATATTTCACTCTTAAGTGGATAGTGCTTTCCAAAACAAACACATCTTGTATCATGACCGACTACTGTAGCAGGACCTAATCTGTGCCAAAATAAGGTTTCAATTTTCTGTCCCATCTTATATAATTTATACTTTAATAAACGTTTTGCATAAGTCAGAAATGATTATGCACCATGTATTCTACCAGGAAACCTTAGACATACAATTAAAAAGAAAAAAAACCTGACAAATTGCTGTTATTTTAATTACAAAAACAAGAAAGAGATGGTTTCCTTTTACTATATTATTGTCTTCTAGACACACAGGCATTTTTCCTAAACTGGAAGTATTGAATATGTCACTGCACAGCAGTCTATAGGTTTTATGAGCCACCTATGTTCTTGTTCACTACACTGAGATTGTGTAACCAACAGTTTGTTGTGAAGTCCTGTACTTTACTGTTCAAACTGACTTACTTCTCTCAATGATATTTTCCTTATTACTTGGTCATTCCTATAAAAGCACAATCTAGTTTGCATTGCTTTAAATATCTAATATATTGAATATTTTTATATCCATGTATCTAATACATCCAAACACATGTAGGTAAATATACATACATATTTTTTTAAACTTCCAAGAATAAAGAGGTGGGTTGTTTCTGGTTAAAAAAAAAAACCTCTAGGCCAAAGTTACATATACAAATATGATAAAGTTATATGTTCAAACAGAGATGTAAGGGAATCTATTGATGTAGTTTATATCATAAGGATCTGAAAAAAGGAATATACAGATAAGCATGTTGTTTTTACCTTATTTTAATGTATATCTTCCTTAACTAACTCTCCCTTTTTTATGTATTTTCATTCCAGAGGATTAATTTATAAAACCACATTCCTCGGTGTTGTGTCATTGTAGGCCTCAAGGAGCTTTTTGTAAAACTATGGTGGTTAGCTGGAAAGTCGTGGTCAAATATCAGCTGGGAGAACTTCACTCTGTTTAGCCTAGAGTTACCTTGAAATGTCTATTGGATAATTCATCACATATTGTTCTAAGTTGTCATAAATAGCCTAAGATATGGCATTGTGTGACATCTGATGCAATTCTAACGAGAAGCAGCCATGAAAACGTGGGGTGCAAATCAGTGAGTTGCCACTCTTCTGAATAACCGGTGACAAGAAAATCTCTTTCAAAAGATATATGATTTTGGCCTCAGTTCTGAAAAACACCTTGGGAAAAAGAAAATTATAATTAATGGTAATAAAAACATTGATTAAAATAATGGAAAAGTGTTGTTATGCTATCATTTTTATGCCTGATTTTGTATTTTTTGCAATATTCTTTTGTACATTTAGAATGGTTTCTGTTCACTTCTCATTAAGTTGTGATAGTGTATCATTCTTTACCTTTACATGTCCAGGTAATATTTCAAATATGACGTGATTTTGTAAAGCTGGAAGAAATTAAGTTTAATTTAGAATATGCTTATATGTCCCTCCTTACATATTGTCTGAAAAGTAGAACTGAACCAATATCTTCTTTATAATTTTACTTATACAGACAGTTCTGCTGGCATTTGTCATTTACTTTTTTAGGCACAGACTATGATTTGGCTATTCAGAAGGTATTTCTAATATTTAGCTAAGATTTAGAGTTATCCTATAATGCAGGAGAATTTGTAGGAATATTACATGATATGTCACAGGTATAGTAAGTCCCGAGTATTTTCAAGTCCCTTGAAAATAACTTGATATGCCTATGTGTAGAGAAACTTCATTACATCATTTACTTTTAAATGACTATAAACACTTTTGTGCTTGTTGAACCTATCTGTTGATGTCATTTGAGAAGATTTACTTTTCTCATTTAATCCAGACATTTTGGGAAATTGTGTTGGATAACCAACTTTAAATCACTATGCATATCAGACCGTATTCATCATTCCTCATGGTTACTTATTTTTTTAGCAGCTGGAAGCAAATGTTTGGGACCTTGTAGGTCAGCCTTTCTATGTAAGAGAAGTGACTACATATAAACCTCAGTCCTGTAAGAAAGGTGATGAAACAAGTGCTCATGAGATTCCCTCTTTCAGGAATCTCAGTCCAATCCCTATGCCAATTTTCCACAAAGAAGTAGTGAGCATAGTTACACAGTGACTCTGTGCAAAGCACGAATAGCACCTCTGATGCCATTGCAAGTCCTTCCAAGGATAAACACTTACTCTTATTTTAAGAAAAAAAAAGAGCATTGAAGTTCTGTATATTAACAGAAACGTCTAGTTAAACATACACAAATGCTGTCAGGCTGTTTTGCAGCTCCACACCCTATGACCTACATGACTGGAAAGCTCTGAGAGAAGGATTTTTACTGCCATATTGAAGAGTAATAAAGAGGCCACATCTTTTCTTGGGAAGTTTCAGTAGAAGGTGCATAACTGCAGGGCATTTATCTGTTGTGCAGGTGAGTATATTCTCATAGTGGTTTAATGCCTTAGCCACTTTGCTAAATGCTGCATAAACATAAGAAGAAAAGAATCCATGCTAGGAACAAATTGAGGTCTAAGCATAAGAGTAAATAGATAGTTAGAAAAATAGGAAAGTACAAGGATTAGAAACTGTACTTCCTAGTGTACTAAACAGTGCTCTCAGTATACCACTTGAGTATTTGTTGAGATTTTGGGAGGATAATAGCAAAGAAGATTTAGAGGAAACTTTTGAAAGGAACAATTAGGTGTGTCTGTAGAGGTTGTTGGGGATTTCTCGGAGTCAGGCACAGTGTGGAAAATATGAAGGACTTGGCTAAAAAATGAGAAGAAGCTCATTCTTCTTCATGAGAAGAAATGGTAGAAGCTGTCTCTCAGTCAGGGTGGAGGAAATCAAAAGCAACAAAAAAGTACCTGGAATCAGGGGACTCAATTAAATTGAAGAAATAATAACACTATTTAGGCAGGCAGCAAAAACAAGTGGGTAGTGGAGGAATTCAGCCTGGCTGGAGGACTGATGATAGCACTGTAGATAAAGAACAGAATCAGAGGGAGCCAGTGCACGCTAAGGCTAAGAATGGCTGAGGCAGTGGAGAAGACAGCATGTGGATCACAACAGGGAAGAACGGGAGAATGGGTTAGTCAGAACTGCTGATGGAGAGAGTCACAAAGAAGAGAAAAAGGTAGCAGTGACAGAACATGAGGGTCATGGCTGCTGGGTAACCCTAAAAAAACCAAGTGATTGCTAAAGGGGTAGAATTCAGAGACCTTGGGGATAAGAGTGGGGCTCTGAAATAGGAAAAAAGGAGACCAATAAACTGGGGGCAGATTTAGGAGGTTAGATGATAAATGTGGGAATGGAAGAGGAGAGTAAGGTAGGGTCAGTTCAATTCAGCATACGAAATCAAAGGTTTAGAGCAAGGGTAATACTGAAAGAGAAAATAGCATTTATAATACAGAAATGTTGATAGTCCAATGCTAAAATCAAACAGAACAAAAAGACAAACCACTTTTCTCCTTAAGTCTGTTTTCAGCTAGTTCCTGTGACTGCTATAAAGACAGCAAAGATTCCCTAGCTGAAAATAAAACTGAAGAGCCAGTATACAGCTTGTTGACAAAAGGTTTAAAGATACGCAAATATACATGGCCTGGTTTTCATATTCAGTTAATTAAAAATTCCAGAAGCGTTTTATATAATACAGCTAAAATGGACATAAACTAAGCTCTAGATTTATGATGCAAAGCATAGTGAAACTATTTTTGAACTTCCTTCACATTGTTAAACTTTGAATATGGAGGCACTCCTCAGTGTGAATGCAACTGTCAGAGCTGAGTCCTGATTTTTAAAGTTAGTAAAGATTACTCCCTTTGTCCCTATTTTAAGAACTGTAATAAGAATTTCACAGACCCTATGATTAGTTCAGAACCCTTAAAAAGAGTATTGTCCTACAGCTCACAAATAGCCAAAGCATGAAACTGTCTCGACATTCCTGGGAGACAGTTTAAATTAGTTCTTTATATGTTCCAAAGGCATTGGCGTGTCATAACACAGATTTCATAACGTTCTCCAAATGTGAGTCAAGAGACAGTCTGATGACTGAACGCTTAAGTAAAGGGTTCA